TGCAAATGCTTTTCAGTAATTTTCATTTTGTTTTGCTGCCTAATTTTTCATTCCTCCAGAACATCACTTTGTGGTTACAATTTTAGACTTTGTGTCCTACCATTTCTCTTCTAGCCAACGGTGCTCCATTATAAATGACAGATAGCTTGTTTGAGGTATTGAATTAGCTCATAACTCTCATTCCTTTTGGTTTACCTCCATGGGTTTTCTTGCTACTGTTGTATCACTGTTGTAGAAGCACTGCAAAATCTGCAGATGGACAAATTATGGAAACATTGAGCAATTCTGTCTTTTGAAACTGTTTCAGTTTATTCATTCAGATCATGCTGAATTGCCTCACAGCAGACACCATGAAGCATTTGCTGATGTTCACAGATTCAGGAAATTTTGCAGGTTCACATGCAGATTGCTCAGTAGCAACATTTATGTCTTCCAATACCTGATTGATTAAAGCAGGGCATTTTTCTAACTGTGGACAGCAATGGCTGTGTTCAGATCCCATGGTACTGTGGTTCAGTGTGTTCAGCTGTGTTCTCTTAAACATGGCAGTAATGCTATGGTCTCTCTGCCACATGCTCCATTCCCTTCCGATCATCTTACACATGGATTATATAGGTATGTATTCTGTGTTTTTAGTGATAGATACTTCTTCTACCCACTTATATTCAGTGATTATATAAATGTGTATCAATTTATCAGAGTAAACAGTAGAAAACTGTTTATTTCTGAATATAAAACATCAGCATGTCTTATGTGCTTTCAGTCACTTCCTCAAGTTTGCAAAGCATTTTATTATTTATCTTCTTTTGCAAAACTGAGTTTTCTGTAGTGCAGGCAGGATGGCAGAATTGCAGATGGGCAACATGTTTGTGTCAGCTCCACTAGGGGCTTGTGAAACAACCTTTACACCTTCTTTACACCTTCATTACTGACACCAGGTAATTGCAATCGCAATGGGTTGACTATCTTGTCTTTCACCTATGTGTGTTTCCCCTCCTTTAAAACTATGACTGTATCATAAAGGTCATGACTCTCCTATCAGTGACAAGGTCATTTGTTCAGCAGTGCAACTGGGAAAAAAGTCCCTGTTTGGCCATAAATTGAGTTACACAGATGAAGAGCAGACCATCAAGTACAATAAAGCTGATGTAGCTGTCCCAACTTTAATGGAACCATTGCCAGTTTATATCAGCCAACGATGTTCAGTGTAATAGGAGGGAGATGAAGTCTCTTGTCTTCTCCTGTCAGCCCCACTCCAGAATACAGAACTGAGTTGGCACACATATAGAAAGAGGGCTGGTCTGAGAAAGGCCTGAGACCACATCTGGACAGATGTGGAGTCAGTTGCTGTCACTGTGCTATCCTAATGTGAAGGCTCAGCAGAGCTCAGAAGTGAAAATGCAGAGACATTGGCGGTAAAGCAAGAGAGGAGAAAGAAATTCCGTGCTCTGTCAGCTCTGCATGATGTAGTCGTAGATTAATAGACTTACTGAGTATATCCATGATGCAATGGCTCTGCTCTCAACTTCTTTGTCAACTGTGTCAGAAGTTTCTAGTTTCTGTCTGTGACTAATGGGAAGCATGACATGCAATAATCCAATTGTATAGTTAGTGTGGGCTGTTTGCTCAGATTACTTGACTTGTCCTTTACCAGACTTTGATTTGTGTGGACATAATATGAAAAGGGCAAGCACAGTCCTTTGTTTGAGCTTTGAAAGAAAATGGAGGTATGGACAATTTACAGCGTGTGCTTTGTTGCTGTAAAGAGGTTTTGTGACTTCATTGGAATAAATATTTTCAAACACGTGAAGCAAGATGAAAATGCACTGAATTAAGAGTGCCTTTTAAATTTGTGGCTATTGGGAAGAAGATACATGTTGCTGTTTTAGTTGATTCACAGTAATTATTAAGATCATATTTTGTGGTTGAGGTGCACAAAAATATCTCAACTGTTGCAGCCTCTTATCTCAAGAGTACAAAGAGCAGTGTCTGTTCCGATCCAGCAAGCACATCTCTGGCAGCTCAGGCAGTTCTCCGGGTAGGTAAGTAAACAAGGCATGAGTGAGCCCCATAGAGGACAGGGAACATAGTGCAACAGAGGGCTCTCTGTAAGATGCTTAGAGGGAAAATACATTAACAGTGCACCTGAAGGAAACATTTTTTCTGTCCTTAAAAGTGCTTTTTAGATTGCAACAGGCATATAAAAAACATCTTGATAAGCTGGGGATTTTGGAATTGGCATCATTATTTGTGAATGAAAACATGTTTTCTGGCCTGTTGGGTTTTTTTCAATGATAGCGTGAACTCAAAAGAACATCTTGTCATACAGTAATGCTGATTTAGTTTGCAAATATATCTACTTACCTGTGGATTTATTAATGTGTGTGTTACAATCTGTACCTTCCTTCTCTTCCAGATTTTGACACTTGCTCAGCAAGAGCAACCATTTACACAAGAGTATATTAGCTTTCACCAAATTTAGAAAATTTTTGTTTGAAGTAGAAATGAGTTGCAATTTGTTGTTATAGTTACCAGAAGACTAGTAAGTAAAAAAGACCTCACATGGGCTATTTTCTTTGTAGTTTATCATTTCACATTTTAACCTGGATTTTTGTCTCTTATTCTACTAAGCAGGTGTTACAGTATCAGTATTTAACATTTTTATTTTGATCATAGAACATAATTTTAAAGCATTTTTGAAAGGGCTGGATTTCAGAACCTGTAAGACTTTTCCATTCCTTAGACAAAATCTCCTGTTACAGCTGGCGCTCTTCCATATGGTTTTCTCTCATATGAGTACTTTCATATCCCGATCCACCCTAAATTTAATCACTTTGAGAGGGGCGGGGGGGGGCGATGCCTGTCCTGCCATCCTTACTGGAAACCTGACCCCAAGTCTCACTGTTCTGATAGGAGTCTTTTGATTTCTGGGGTAACTGGTGGATCATAGCAAACATTCCAACTCTTCTTCCATTTCCAACTGTAGAGACCTAAAGAATGCCATTATTCTCTGGCAGAAAAATCTGATTATTTCATAAGAGCATGACCTTGTGCTTTGTGTGTTTGATCCTTTTCTTAGCTTTCTTGATCCTCACCTTTATTTATGATGCTTCTGACTGTCACATCAGTAAATGTTCTTAAAACATTTCTAGTGGACCATGTCACTGTGCTATGGTCACTAGTGAAAATGTTTATTAAGATCAGCTTATAGGCAAACTACTATTCCCTGAAGTTGGTTACTTCTCTATCTGGTTTCCATTGAGAATTTGAACCTTGGGAGTTCATTTCAGACCTCAGCAGGAGTCAGGATCTCAATGCCATCATCCTGAGCCCTGTGCTAGTCCTGATCTACCAAGCAGATTCACCCCTTCAGCTGTTATTGACACTCACTGGGCCATACATTTTCCTGACTATACACATAAGAAAAATGCTGTAGTGAATGGAGTTCCCCCTGGTCTGTAGTAAACGGGTGTTGATATATTATATACTTCAACTATTAGACAAAAATTGCAGATTATCTCATTGTTATTTAATGCTCTGTTGCTGGTCCATTTGATTTTTTTTTTTTGTCCCTACTGAATTCTGGAGTGGTTTGTTAATTTTAATATTTGCTACAAAAGAATGTGATTCTAGTGACCAAATGCTCCTGTAAAAACACAGTGTTATACTCTATCTCTTCTGTCATGAATGCCAAACAAAGCCTCATGATAGATTGAAATCAAATAATAGTAGTTGGAGCAAGACACTGGTCAAATTCCAGTATTGTTAATGGAAAGTGTTGCTCCTCTGAGCTTGGATACTCCATACTACAGTTTTGATAGCTATGTGACTACAGACAGGACCTGGGAGATTCAAACTTTTCCTGCCTGAGTGTGCAAACTTTCAAGGAGATATCTGACAGACCTCTGACAGATCTGTGCTTTGGTTTTTCCATATGTAATGTTATTTATATCCCAGGCTAATAATAATGCACTATATCCTATATAAGTTTTTTTTTAACTACGAACTCTCCAGATCCGTCATTCTGCGTGGTGGGAGTTTGTCATCACTGTAGTGTTGGAGCAGCTTTGTGCATTCTGTAACACAGGTAGCACCTCTCAAGCGTGACCTACCCTTTCTCTCTGCAGAAAGGAGGTGCAAAATGCCTGTTGTCTTGATCTTGTGGGGATGAGCATGGTGTGGTTGCCTGCTTGTTTTAAATGTACGACCTTCTTGGTGACACTGTTAGAAGAGGCAAGTGACAGAAGCGTGCCTGGGAGGGGAAGGTGTTTGGGTTTGCCATGGTCCAGAGTTTCCACGTGAGGTCCCTCCATAAGTGAAAGGGCCACTGTGAAAAGTTTTTCTCTTGTGGGAAGTGTATAGCTATCCTGAGCTCAGATTTTCAGGTATCTTGAAGAAATTACTTTGGTATCATGGACTTGATTCAAAGCTTCATAAGACAGCAGCACAAACAGCAGGTGCTAGGTCATTGACATATTTTATTAAAGTCTAGTTGGAAGAATTTTTTTTATCGTTAAGTTGTGTTTAAAAACATTGAATATACACTGCTCCATTTTTGCCCTGTCACTAGCAGTCTTTCTAAAGCGCAGGCTACACTGATCAGCCAAAGGCTGGTTGGTCTGTCACCATGATGTTCTGCATTCCTCTGCCTACCACCAACAACTAGAAATGTTTTGTCTTGCTTAAGTCCATTTCAAGTAACAGTTCATGTCAGTTTAGCAATGTTCAAACATAAGCTTGCTAATGGTAGTGGCCTGACTTTAGGGAAGGATGGATGAATGAGCAGAGTCTCTGCAGTAATCTTTGTCTGATTAGCAATGTGATTTATGTATACCATGGTCTTTATTACCCTGATGCATGCACAACAAATGCACAGGAATGACATGTACAGCTGCAGAAGGTAATCCAAGCTATTGTTAGTTATTAATTTAATGTAATCCTCTAATCAAAGATGATACAGTAATGCACAAAAGGACACATGTAAATTTATATTTGGTATTTTCTGCCATGAAGTTTTTTGTCACATAATCTAAGCAGGGTTTTAAGGTTTTGATGATGTATATGAAAAGGATTTTAATTATTTAGAGGAAAACATTAGGAATTCTGATTTGTCATGTGTTTAGACACAGTCTCCAATGAAACTGTGGGGACTTGCTACTTCAGGTAACTGTACCTTGTGCATCTGATTTCATGAAGAATTCAAGATCAAAGGTAACATTAGATCAGTCTTAATACTGACATAATTTGTTGATAATAAGGAAATTTGGACTTCTTATCCTTCTAATGAAATGGTGTTGCACACATTGCAAATCTCTGGTAATTTCATTTTCCTGTAATTCCTAAAGAGAATAGGCAAGTAACAGTGCGCCGGGCCATTTTATCAGGAAATTGAGGGCCATCTTCACTAGTTTTTCTAGACAGCTTTTCTCCTTCCCTCTGTGTTGTTGTTTTTCAAAATTGCATTGCTTTGGTACCATCTCACTTCTGCAAAAGACAATTTTGTTAAATGTATTCCCAAATGCACTGATGAAGTTATAACTGTTTGGCAAAGGCTTGGAGACAAAGACGCTGCTGTGAAAAATGAGTCTTGTCAACAGAGAACTGATTTGTGATCACTGAATTTGGACAACGTGGTCAATGTTGTATTATCTGTTTGTCTCCCACTTTCATGTGTACCCACTATCCCAAGGGAGTTGTTATATGTCAGGAGCATCTATATGGACTCTGTCAACTCTTCTTTACTGTCAAATTATATCAGAACAGAGACATTTTCTATCTTTCAGCACTGTGGCTTTTGCCCAGTGTAACTGGATATCCTGGGGCTTTGTGGCTGGCACGCTGGGATTTGGACATTTAGTTCTTTTTTTGTGCATCTGTACCTGCTTTGTCTTTCTTCTGTGCTTACAAAATGGGAGAAAAGCAGAAAAGCACGGTCTAGTCTTGAGAGGGATGTTATTAGGAGAAACGTGCTAAAAGACTGTAAGAAGCCAAGGATTTAGTAGATGAAATGTGAATTTGCTATAGACTGTTTCTAAAAGAAGGCGTATCTTGTTCCATACTAATAGTTGTGTGGCATTTTGGCACATAAGTGAAAAGCTGTTGCTCCCAGTGTCTGCTAGGAGATCATATTATTTCCTTCTCTTTACTCGTAATGCGTTTACCCTGCCTGTGATTTATGTAGCCAGGAACAAGAACTGAAGCACTTACACAGGGGAGATGTGTAAGTGCTTGCATGGGTTCCTTGTATGTCAGAACTGTTAAAAGCTAGTCTTCAGATCTATAACCCATAGGACAGTGTTTCTGAAGAGAACACCTTAAACCTGTTTGTATTTATTTATTAGTTTCACTGCTGTGTTATTTCTATCCTCTTTAACAGCTGATATCGTCCCATGTTTTTCAAGATCCCAGGGTTTTTATTGTAGCTGCAATTGTTCTTTTGTTGAGATCAGCAGAGCAGCTGGGCTTCTACAGCAGACAGAGACAGCAGGTCTATTTTAGTCAATGAGCTAATAGTTTATGCGAGTCTAGGAAATTCTGCTTTTTATTAAACTGCAGCAGCTTGTTCATACTCTGGTGGACTTGTCATTAATATAATATCCAGTCTTCATAAAATGTGCACTGCTTGTTTTGTCCTAATCCATCTGTTCGAAAAATGAAAAGTTAAATGGGCTATGAAGTATGTGTGTTGCTTTGATCACAGATTTGGAATTTCCTGCCTCATATAAAGGAGCAAAGATTAGCCTTAAAAGGAGCAAAGATTAGCCTTAAAGATGTAACTTCAGTCTAACACCCAGATCTAACATTTGCATTGCAAAAGGGGGAACAATCATGTCTTTGCAAGGTATTCTAGGAGACCCCTTTTCCAAAGTAGAAAATCTGCACTTCAGATGCTCAGATAAATTGTCTGAAGTGTCCCTTCTTTTACAGACAGCTGCTAAGACCTAGGAGGGATGCTGTCTATCCTTGTTGCCACTGACTGAAGCATAGGAGGTGACTTCTCAAGTATGTGCTATTTTTGTATAATCTGAGTTTCATTGTATTAGTTGGGCTGAACATCCTACAGGTCATTAGGAAGGGTATGTAATATAGGAAGGTTTAACAGAGGTGCACGCACAGAAATGTCCTGTCCCTCATATAGATGGTATCAGAAAAAATTTCACGTATTTGCTGATGTTCCTTTGCTACTTGAATATCCAGCAAGAGAAACAGCACCTGAAGAGTAAGGCAAATATTACATGAAACAGGCTAGAAAGCTAGAAGACGAACTCTTCCAGTGAGCCATGATGACTGGCTGCATTCTCACTAAAACCCTACCATCCAGGCCTTTTCCTTTCATGCTGTTAATGCACCATGCAAATAATCTGATGTCTATGTAACCTGTATCTCTTTTGTCAGTAAGAACGTAGCCCTCTAACCTCTGAAAGTCACACCAACTTCCCTGGGCAATTACTTTGGCCATTTTGTGCTAGAAATGGTCATTTAGTACTGCACTAACTTAAAAAAAAAAGTTTTAAATTACCCTGAATGGAACTTTAAAAGATGACAAGAAGGGACCAAAGGGAGAAGAACTAGACTTCAGCTCTCCATATTCTGCATATAACAGAGCCAGAATAACATAGTACCCCATTCTCTCTGTAACAGGAAAAATCCTTTAGACTGGCTCTCCTGTGCAACCACTGCAAAGGCAGTTTAAATGCAGCAGAAACAGACTCACTGACAAAGCTGTGAGCAGGTTCTAATTTGCAACATCCTGTTCAACTCAGGCATCCAAAAGGTCCATGAGCAGAAGTCACTGCAAATGTGTCCAACCTCCTGGTGATCGTCACTTGTGTAGGTGTTAGTGCTGAACACTTTCTCACCTCCTGGAATGCAGGAGAGCTTTTGCTTTGCAAAGTTTTCAGTTGTTGCAGTTTATCTGAAATTCCCCTGGTCAAAGGTTCATGTGCTTTGTAAAGCTGAGCTTCCAGGCCAGCATGTAGAAGGTATGGAACTGGAACATATGTGCTCCTGAGAGGTGCCTTTCTAATTCTTCCTGGTGGGAAGGTGGGTGAAGAAATTATTAAACATGGATTCTATTATGCCTTTTTAAAAACAGTTTAAATTAAAGAAATACACGTTTAGGAAACAGTAATGGATCCACGCACTGCTTAAAAAGTGAAACAAACATGAACACTTGCAAAATGACATTAAAAACTTAATTTTAAAACATTTTAATAATTTCACAGTAAGACAAGGAAGTTCCAATTAGAAAACTATCCAGTGTCAGAGGGGCAGCACGGAATGCTGTTGGATATCTGAGCCCTCAGCTGACAAATGGTTTCTAATTTGGGGCCAAATTAAACTCTCATTTACGCTGGCATGTGTCCCCAGGAACTCTTTTCACTTCATCAGGGTACTTGAGTCTTACCCCTATGTAGCTGAGACCATAAATGAGCCCTTTTGAAGCTTTTTACTACTGAGAATTCTTTCAGAGCCTCATCATTATTTAAGTTCTTTCCTGAATAATGAACAGGCAGAGACAGTAGAGAGAAAAGACTGACAGGCTGTTATAAAACAATAAAATGACCTGAAACTTGATGATTCTGACTCTATTATAGTTAGCACTCTTCAAGTTAGTCCTTATTGTTTACCTCCCACATTTAAATCCACTAAACATTGGGAATCCAGAAACTCCAGATTATTAAGGTATTGAGTGGACATGATTACAGCATATAGCATTGTGTTATTCCTGTGGAGGCTTTTCAGAATTGTCTTTCAATGACTTCTTTCCAAGCCTAAGTAAAACAGATCTTTACAGCTGGACATTTGTGTGGCGTACTAGATACGTTCCATGTGAGTGTGACCTTCAAGCACTAGCTGTTATGGGCACATCTCTTGTGGTTAGCATGATAAATGATGCTACGCTGGCTAATTAAATCAATACATCTCATTAATGTCTTGCAGTTTCTGAATTTCTTGTCACTCTCTAGTCCCATGGAACACTTTCTGTATTTGCTCTTCTCAGATTGACATGCAATTTTTTCAGTCTTTCTCAACAGATACAGCAATTTCATCTGAAAGTAAGTTTGAGAAGTATATTTAGTATGTCCAATAAGAGAACAGTTGAAAGGTAACTGGTAGCACCTCCTGCTTCCCCATTAAATTTATTTTCACCCTTTCACAAATGGAGGACCTTCTGTGTCTTTTGGACTAAAGTTACAAGATAAACAATGGAAATAACTTTTTTTATTATTATTCAATGTGTTGGGAATTGTGTTAAGCAGGGAGAGAACAGCTGCTGAGAGATATTACATTAAAGAATGTAAAAAATCCTACAAGGATTTTCACTCTCTTGCAGTACTGACAAGGATCTGAGTAAGGAATATGGCAAAGAATATTGTCCCCATGCCTATTGTGTGTCTGTCTCTATGCTTCCACATAATAGAAAGCCTTTTTCTGGTCCCTTCTTGACTTTTGCAATGTATTAAAGACCTAATAAAAGAGGTTTAAAACCATTCCACACAAAAAGATCCCTGTTTTTCCACAAAAACAGTAGCCTAAATATCTCTCAGAATATGTTAATTGTCTCGGCTATTTTTCAGGGGTTTTTGTCCCCCAGTAAATTGTGTTTTCAATACCACCTCAGAACAGAAACAAAAATATTGATGTTTTGGGGTTTTGTGTTCTCTATAAATTTTGTTTTTCTTTTCTCTTCCATCCTTATTTACAATTCTTTTTCACAGGCCAACGAAAGGGAAGACAAGGGAAGAATTTTCTCCAGTTAAGCATTTCTCTTGAAGAGCTCGGAAGAAGCACATTTCTACAACAGCTAACCAAGAAAGAAGAAACAAAAAAGAGCAACTGCCAATGTTTTAGTCAAGCATAGCTTACCAACAACTCATGTCTGGATAGCTTGTTATGATTCAAGTGGACATATTTTAATAGGGGGAAAACCAAAGTTTGTTTGAATGCACTGAATACCAGTAATTCCCCAAGAGAGAGCTTCCTGGCTGTGGGCAAACACTACCCTTGACTTGGACTCTGTGACATAAATGCGTTTGATCGTCACACACTAATGCCCTTGGAGTTGCCCCCATCCCTGCAGCATGGTAGTGTGTAGGAACACAGCTTGGGTTCTCCGTGGGAATCCTGTCTTGCCTTTCTTGATTTGTAATGAGGCAACAGAAAGATTCTGGAGTGGAAACTGTGACAACAGCCCTCCCTGCACCCCTACAGCCACTAACTCCAGACCCCTGACCTGTGGTGCAAATGGGAAGGGAAAGGTAAGGAATAAGCAACCAAACCAGTAGATTTGTTAGGATGGAGTGCTGCCAGGGTAAAACACTGGCATGATTACACACAGAGCATCTTACTCAAAGACTTGTCCAGGAAGCCTTTTGCAGGTTACTGAAATCTGCTTTTTGTTGAGCCTGGACCTCTTGTGCAGGACTTTTCCTGCCTTCTTTGCACTATATATAGTAGGTATGTTAGCAAAGGCCCTGAATATAAAAGAAGTCCTCAGGTTCTGTTGCTTCATCTACCACTAACCTGTCACATCATGATTTGTCCTGCAAGAATTGGGGCTGCATTCTGAAATCCAGCTTGTTATCCAGAGGTGATTTAACACAGCTCTCGCCCATCTTTTTCCTGCAGTTAATAGAGCTGTCAGGTCCCCTGTCATTTCCTTGTCATTCTGTCACGAAACATATAGAAAGCCTTAAAGAAAACCTTAAAGGTCATCCCAGGAGCTTGAAATAAAATTGACCCTTATTCAAAAGTACACGCAAAATAGCTTGGACTTTTCCCTTCAACTGCTATTTATATTTGCCTCTTGTTCCACAGAGAGTTAATGTGTATTGAAAATATGACATTTTCCAGGAAAGTATCTGTTACAGGTGCCAAAGGCTGTTCTGTTGTCAATGCTTTGTGATATTTTCATGGCATGTTTGGAAGAAAGCTTTTTCTCTCTGTCTCCTTCAGTTGCCTTAAGCCCAGCATTACCGTCTCATTCAAGAGATGATAATGACTGTGTTCACTTGTTGCATTGGATGTTTGTGCCAAGGGTGTTTATGAATGTTCTAGCTGATTTTAAATACAAACTTCAGTGCCTGGAGACACCTTTGTATTAAAAGCAATTGACTCATCATAGCAGGGAAGGAGAGGTTCAGCAGGTAAAGTGGCACTCAGTCAAGAAGGTGCTTCTTGGCTAGTAAAGTACAGGGGATGACAGCTGCTCTGACAAAGTGACATTTGCATCTCCAGAGAAGTGAGACTTTCTTAATTTAACTGGAGAAGTGTCAAGATCATCTGCTGAGTAAGTTAGAAGGAAGTGAGTTTCAGATGGAAAGAAAGAAAATTTCAAGAGGAAAACTTAAATCTACTCAGAGCCCCTGGAAAGGACAGTAGTTGTAGGCATTGGTGTGGAGGAGAGGTTTTTCTCTAATTAGTGCAGTCTGTGACATATGGTACACAGGGAAACAGTGTCGTTGACGTGTCAGGAGAGTACCCACAGCAAATGAGAAGGATATGGAGTAAAAAGAACCTTTCATAATTTTCCTTATAAGCAGGCTGAGCATAGGCTTCTTTGTTATGCCTTAAACTCCTTTGTTACAGTGGTGTCTACTTTGGATGCTGTAAATAAATCCACTTGGATTTTGCTTTAACTCAGATGGACTTAAAGCACCTGGTTAAAAAGACATTTCATGCTGAAGGCTGGCACAGCACCACTAGGCAACTGGGGATGTGGTCACCTAGAAGCAACAAGGGGAAGTCACTTCTTCCCGCAGTGAGGGATCGCTACAGAGGCTCTTAGCAGGATGCTGGTGAGCATACCTGAATCTCAGTGGTCCTGAAGGAATTTGTCACCCATGCACTTGAGCCATGCTGTGTTTTAATTCCTCTCTGAAAGAGTGAACTTCTGTGTTAGAGTGAGTTTGTCTTTCTCCATTTCTTTCTTTGCTCATGAGCAGCTCCTGGTTTGCTGGGGATACAAGTAGTTTACTAGCAATCATGTCAGAACATTTGCTAGCAATTTACTCTGGCTTTTAAGTCATAAAGCAGCAAAGGGAATTACTGCTGCCATTTCCTAAGCAAGGCAACAAAGGCATAGATGTAATAATGCCTGCCCCTAAGTATTTGCCCATTTTTTTTCACATTCCTCTTTTTGTTTTCCCAAGCAAAAAGCATCACTCCGTAGCAACCATTTTAAGGCTGAGGGCACACTGAAAACAAGCTTGACAAATGAAAGTGAGATGCTGCAGCATGTGGGACTAGCAGAGCAGCCTGGTGGAATTATCAAGCTCATGCTGTGCATGGCCCCACTAGGCTGCATCCCTGGGAGTCACAGGGATGGGAAAATTGCAAGCAAGCACCTAATCTGGCAATCAGGAGCTGCTTATGAAACAGGCTTCTGTGTCTTAGCAACTCTGAACCCTTTCTAAGAGTTGAGTGCTGTGCTCTTTTTTTTTCGGAAAAAAAAAAAAGTGGTGAACATTAGGCTTGCTTTTTAACAGGAGTGGAGATGTGAAAGTCCCAGTTTTAAATGCTGACTAGGTGGGTACGGCACTTACCTGGGCTGTAGGAGGCACAGATTCAGACCCTACCTTTGCCTCAGGAGATCTGACCATCAGTGTTTGGTGAATATACTCATCACCAGGATGTGGGGTACCTAAGGCAGGACTCTTCCTAGATATGGGGCTGGCTCAGTGGTACCATCTAAAGACTCAGCAACAGGTGTGGCTCTGCTGTGCCAGCTGTGCAGTCCTGCCCACTTCTCCGTGCCAGCTCTGATGGCTTTCTGACCTCACAACACATTGCTATGATTCACAAAGCAGAAGACATTCACCCTGGTTTTATTGGTTTAGTTTCTCCTGGAAGAGGATTAAAAAGGGAAGACAAAGATTCTGAAGAGCAGGACTTTGTTCCTTGAGTATCAATGACTGATTGACTTGACCCTGCTGTACCATTTATGTAGGATCTCACCTGTCAAAGCTGCTCACTCAGGATATCACTGTAAAATATTCCCTGAGCTTGATAAAGACTCTTTAGCCCAAAGCTGAAATGCTCATCTTCAAAAGATGAGACATGGACTTTCTTTTCTTGCCATGTATTTCTCGCTGTATTGTTTTTTCCATTTGAAATCATACTGAGCACATTCCAGTTGTATACCTGTCATATACAGTAAAACTGAGATTCTGTGGTCTAAAATAATTGGCTAGGGCTCTCAAGCAGAGAAATGTAGGATTGATTGTGTTTTGATTCACACTGTGTAATCTTCAGTTATTAAATAAACCAAGACAGCTGAGTGTTCCCTTCCAAACTTATAAACATGTATAATTTTGAGGGACTTTGGCAAATGTACTGGTTACCTGCCCATAGTGTGGCTTCCTATGACATTTATGAGTACTGAGCTCGATAATGGATAGCTAGAAGTCTTCATATTCTCATCTGTCATTTTGTGCTCCTGTGGGTTCTACTTGCAACAAATGCTACTGAAAGGCATCAGCCCTTTGAGGAGATGCATAGGAAAATAATAAGGTGAAGTAGGTGTCTAATGTCTAGCCAAGAAGATATTAATACCAGTCCCCACTAAATAAAGTGTCAAACCTGTCAGTGTGACCATCAGGCAAGGAAGTTAAAAGGTAACAAATCAGTGTAGCTGAGTTTCAAGTATATCTTCCAGTTCTTATCAAAAATGGTTGTCATCATTCTTGGGGATCCTTATAGCAAAAAGTAAAAAAGGCTATATAAATGCCAGATTTTTTTTCTCTGGAGATTTTTTAATGCCAGTGAAAACTTACTGTTGCCCAGATCCATTAGTGCTGGTAGAGGCAGAGCATTTGACAACCATATTCTATCCATCCCCCATGAACAGTTTAGAAACTTGAGTGATTCAGAACATTCATTGTCTGGAGTCCAGGGTCATGGCTTATTAGATAGGCAATGACTAAAATAATTTCAGTGTCCATGACAGGCATCCATAGCAGGATGTTTGAATTCAGCCCTAAATCTTTTTGATAGTTTTGAAATTGTTACAAGGCATCAAATTTGTCAATTTTTTGGATTGGAAAAAGAAATTTGAAGTTTTATGCAAAAAAAAATATGGTACAACTATAAAGGAAAACTGTTTTGTTGTCTGGTCCCTGAGCCCAAAAATATCAATATGCACAAGGATAATAAATCTTACTGGGTTACTTTACACTGAATATGGTGACTGAGCACATTGAGAGCTTAGTACTCTTGATTTCAGTTAACTTGTTTCTTATACTTGACTGAATCCTACAAAGCTTGCCCAAAATGACATGGTACCACTCAGATATTCCGCAGCTGACTGTTCTCCATCAAGGCATGGTCCTGTTTTGTTATTAAATCAATGCTTATTTTATTTCCTCATTGTTTGTTCTGTTTCTTTTAAGGTTCTGCAGTTGAAATAATAATACTTCATTAGTGCTGACATTAAGGGGAAATTGCCAGATTCAAAATGATCGGTTATTGAAGCAGTATAACTCTCTGCTTCAGGACATATGTCTTGGATATGAGCAGATAAGTTATTCTATAACAGCCAAATTTAGGATTTTGGGAACTTCGTTTTGAAGCAACATGTTCTCATAGCACATAAGAAAGTTTGTGTTCATTACCAAAAAAGAGTTCACCCTCCAAAATAAACATTATCCAAGGTAACTTAAGGACTCCACGTATTTCTGCACTTGATTCACTACAGCAGATGTGTCTTATATATGTTATAAATCTCATATATGTTATATATGCATATATGCTATATACTTTATATATACTATCTTAGGATATATAAAACTATGCAAGATTTAGTAGGTTTCACTCATATTAGATAGTGAAACATCAGCTGATATGGCCTATATATTTAGGTTTAAAATATATGTTAGAGATACAGATAGTCTGGAGTATAATATAGTCAAGTTCAATTTGGTTTTGGTAAGGTGACTCCAAATCATATTAGGAGCTGGGAAGGCAGCTCCTGAGGCAGTCACAGTAATGATAGCTTTATCAGCGCTCATTCACCATTTTCAAGAACAAAGGTTAATAAACAGGAGATAGAATATTTATTCTAATATAGGTCCCTGGGGTACTAAGTCATCTTTAATGAGAAATGAGGTAATTACCAGTTCTGTCACCTTTCGTCTCTCAAATACACTTGAAACTGTTTAATATGAGGCCTGTGTTGTTCAGTGGAAAATAAAGACTTAGAAATTATTGTAAAGCATTTCAGTATTACTATATTAAAGACAGTGAAGCCTGAATATCGAATTTTGTATTTCAAGGCAATTTGAATTTTTTTCTTAATGAGAATGGAAGGAGATGTCAGGACAAAAAAATACATCAGTTGTCCTGGTCTGTCATCACCCTAGTCATCACAGACTACTAAGCTCCTCAAATTGGAGGTATTTTGCCTTTGAAATGGAAAACATAGAGGAAGAATTGGACTGTGACAAATTTTGGAAGGACACATTCCTAAATTTACATCATTTGCCTTATATGCAGAAAGCTTGTGGAGAGTGATATGAGATCAGCTAGGATGAAAAAAACCCCAGTATCACAAAAGTAACGCGTGAGAAGAAAGAACAAGGAACAGCTGCCACAATTAAAGGAAATACAGACTTCTGGAAGGCTGTGAGACTAATTTTCACTTGTTTTGCTATAGTTGCTGGTTCAAAGATTCTCAAAGCGGATTTAACTGCCTGTGCCTTTTTGCAATGTCAGAGCAGTGGAAAGGAGATACGATGTAGATGAGAACCACGTTCCGCAGAATTAGGTTATAGAAAGATAATTACACAAACAGCCTTCATCCACATGCTGAGCAGTACAG